GTGGCCACCGAGGGTGGACAGGAAGTTGGCCATGCTGGGAAGGTCACTGACATAGGAAAAGGGACAAACAGAAAGGTCTTCCTGGCCGAAACAATGGGTTAGGTGGTAAGTCATGTGGTTTGTTTAGGACTCATCCTCTTTAGTACTTGTTGCACCTCTCAGAACCAATTAATGCCGAGTACCAAGGTATCACTGTATTTCCATTGGTGGGAGCTTGTCATTGAGTCCGAGTCTACTTTGAATGGATCCTTCAACAATTAAGAATTTGGGGTGAGAAAAAATAAAAATGGCATTGTAAACAGTCAGGGTGATGGAGAAAGGGAAAAGCTGAGGTGCTGGAAATAAACACAGGGCCTATGCAGATGGTATTCCTGGGAGGAAAAAAATAAAAGCACGTTTGATAAAAATGGGATTAAAAGGGCAATGCAACACTTCAAAGGCAGATGTGCTTCATGGCATCTGCAGGAGCAAATGAGGTCCCTGTCTGGGTGACTCCTTTAAAAAAAATGGTGTCTCTTCCCAAGTTGTGTGGGAACCTGGGCTCAGCTGTCCTGTCCTGTGCAACTGGCAGTGCGATCAAAGGAAAATATTGTTTGGTTTAATCATACAACTGCAGGCTAAGATTACTGAACCACAAGCCCCGCAAAGCAAAACTGACAAGAGAACAAAACTGCCTCTACAAAATTGTGAGGTTTTTTTTTTTGCTGGAGGCATTTAATGGAGGCTGAAGAGCCATCTGTGGGTGGGTGAGTGGGAAACCTATGCTACTGACAGTTTGATGAAATAGTCTCTAACTCCCTAATTCCAATTCAACACTAATTCCAGTGTAACTCCGTGTCAAGGGATCTGTCCCCCTCAATCCCAATCTTCAAAAAGATTATATAAAAAAACTCATCTGTTTTAAACGGACTTAACTAAGACGATTTATCTAGCATGCTGTATAAGCTGCTAATGCCTGGCCTTGAGACTGACTTTTCAATTACCAGCTTTGGGAATTATTGGGCTTTAAAAATGACTTTCAAGGGTTGTATATTGATTTCTAGACAGGGTTTTCACTCAAAAAAAAAAAAAAAAGGGGGGGGGGGGAGGGGTTTTATTGCAGGAACAAGCCCTTAAAAAGAAAGCGGTTAGGCTTCTGAGGAAACAGGGAAACTAGCGGAAGCCTCACTGGAGAAAAGGTTGCACCTTGGGAAAAGCTTTTTTTAAAACACTGAACATCGGAGGCATATTTCCTCTCTCTTGGTTTTGTTTAAAGCAAAACAATCGTTGCCCTGAAAACGAATGATCTTGTGCAGGGGTGGGCTTCAAAAAATTTAGCAAAGGATTATCTGCCTGGTTGCTGGGTGGGCATGGCCTAGTAGGCCTCCTGCATCACGGGGCGGGGGAGGGGGGGAATTTGCCCTTCCCGGGCTCCAGAGGCTTTCCTTGAGCCTCTGGGAGAGTGAAAACGGCCTCCCCCCGGACTCCGGAGGCTCTTTGGAAGCCAGAGATGGCTCCATTTCCGGCCTTCCTGAACTTCCAGGAGACCCGTTTTTTGCCCTCCCTGGGCCTCTGAAAGTGCCCTGCACTTACCTGCACCCAAAACAAGCCACGTGGGGACTCTTGGGAGGGGAGGGTTGGGTGAGGCCAGCCAGGAGTGGGATTGGGAGGTTCTCCGAACTGCACAGAAGCTTAGCTAGGGGCTCTCCTGAACCCCTGCGAACCCCCAGCAGCCCACCTCTGATCTTGTGTCAATCGTTGAAGAACAAGGCAGGAAGACAGAGTACAAGCCACGGACCATTTCCCCTCCCTCCTGGCTAACAAATCTTCTCTTAAAAGTCCTCTCTTTGCCCTGTTCAATCTCCGAAGCTATCTATTATTCTCTGCCACTATTGAAAAAAATGTCTGAATCGCAGCAGGCCAAAGGAAACAAGGCTCCCATTGGGGGACCCTGGTGGATCGTCTCTAGCCTCCCCAAAGCAGCAGTGGACATGGGATGGTCTCTGGTCCAGCCCCTCCGTGACTTCCCCTGACAGCTCACCTGTTCCAGCCACGGGACTATGCAGCCATCATGGAAGAGGTGATTGCAGGGTAACTGTCGCACGCTCTCACCAACTTCATAATCTTCCTTACAGACAGGACATTCCAGTCCCGAAACTACAATTGGGAAAAAGAGAGAGAGAGAGAGAGATAAATGAACTAGAGCTGAGCTGTTCATCCCTGCTACAGGTAGTCCTTGTTTAGTGACCACAACTGAGACCAGCAACTATCTCATTAAGTGAAGCCGTGGCTAAGTGAAAACGCAACAGTGCTTGTGATTTTAGCTTTCCTTTCTGCTTTAAAGACCCGTGAAGGTTGTAAATGGAAGGATGGGTTGCAAAGTTACTTTTTCATTGTTACCGTAGTTGTGAATGGTTGCTAAACAAGGAATTACCTGTACAGGTGCTTCTCCACTTACAACCATTTGTTTATCGACTGTTAACTTACAATGGAACTAAAAAGGGTTAGGACCGGCCCTTCCATTTACAACGGTTGCAGCATCCTCACTATCACATAACCAAAATTTGGGCGCTTGGCATCTGGCACGTATTTATGATGGCTATATCAACCAACCCCTTTTCTGGAGTCTGATGAGTGTCAGCATCGGGCGCCTTAACCCGGCATTTGGTTCATCCTGCAGCCCCAGTTCTGCTTACCAAAAGTGGCCCACTAGGTGTCTCATCTTCCACGCCTGGCTCCATGCCAGCGACCCGGGGTTCTTACCCATTTGGAGTTTGAGAATAGGTTGAGATTGTTTCAGCCCCGAGACCTTTAATCATTCGCTTGACTGGATAAAATAAAACTGCGGCAGCCTTTTTTCCATGAGCGCCAGCCAGGGGTGGGATGCTACCAGTTCTGTCCAGCTCTATAGAACTGGTAGCTCTGAAGAGCAGCAGACACAGAACCGGTTCTATGTCTGCTGCTGCTTGTCCCACCTGCCTGCCGGGGCTCTTACCTGTCCTTTATTTCCTGCTTTTTCAACCTCAGCTGCTTTGCGCGGCACAGCTGAGGTTGAAAAAGGAGGGGAAAAGAGGCTTTTCGAATGCTGCGCACCTGCGTGAAGTCTTTTTCAGCTGTCCAGGCGGCACACCCTAAGGTTATGTTACACATGCGCACAGCCAAACTGGTAGTAATGCCGGATGAATCCCACCCCTGGTGCCAGCTAACCTGAGGGAATTTCTGAGGGAACCAGCGACTACAGGGCTGTCAAACTCCTGGCCCGCGGGCCGGATGCGTCATGCGCTGGTCACGCCCACGCCCGGTTTAGCGAAGGGGGGAAAAGTCTCATGTGACACTGACGTGACAACGTGAGTTTGACACTCCTGAGCTACTGGATGGTTCAATTAGTCTTTCGCTCCTATACCCAGGTCAGACGAACGATTTGTACGTCCGGACCTCCATTTGCACCCTTCCCATCCAGTTTCTGACAAGGAAAGGCAATGGAGGAAGCCGGATTAATTTAACAACCATGTGATTCATTCAATAACTGCAGTGATTCAGTGAACACCATGGCAAAAAAAGGTGTAAAATGCAGGCGCGACCCCTTTGCTTGGCAATGGAAATTCTGGTCCCGTTTGTGGTCATAAGTCGAAGATTACCTAGATATTTAAAGCAGCTAATGAAGAGAAAAAAACCACAGAAATGGACGAGAAACCAAGTGTTCTGGAGCAGTGGTTGCCAATCAGTAGGCCGGGGACCACTGGTGGTCCGGAGAGAAATGTCACCCCCAAAGCACTCCCCAAAGCAATTAATCCAGGCTGTGCAAGAACACAAGGCTGTGTCACTCACATGGTCCATGGGAACACAAGGTTTGCGTCCCTTGCATTGCGAACAACATGAGGTAGTGAGGGGAGGGGGGAAAGGGCGCAGGGGGGAACTTGCCCCACTCACCCCACCGGGCTGCTTCTTCCTGCTTTTTTCTTCTTCTGCTTTTGGCTGCATGCAAGGAAAGCAGCAAAAGTCTTTCTTTCTCTCTCTCAAACTCCGCCAGAAACGATTTGGGACCCTGCAAGGCCTCCTGCTCCAAGAGGCTGCACCGGCAAAGACTCATTTCTGGTGGAGTTTGGGGGAGAGAAAGACTTCTGCTGCTTCTGCTGCTTTCCTTGCATGAAGCCAAAAGTCTCTCTCTCTCTCTCTCCCTCACCCCCTGAGAACGGAGTTGGAGACGGTATCCTGCGATCCCAAATAAAAAACGATTGATCGGTAGGAAAATAGGGTGGAGAATTTTCCTGCAGATTTTGGGGGGGATTTTCCCAGGGTCTCTGGTCTGCGGGATTTAAAATTATGAGTCTGGTGGTCCCCGAGGTCCAAAAGATTGGCGACCCCTGTTCTGGAGGATGATGAAGGCAGAAGCAATTGGGATCTGTTAAGAATTTACTATCAGGTTTGCTGAACTTCCTTTTGTTATGGTTCAAGTAGACCTCCACTTACAACTACAATTGAGCCCCAAATAATCAAGACAGTTGTTAAGTGAGCTTTGCCCATTTTACGAACGTTCTTGCCCCAGTTGTTAAGTGAATCACTGCAGTTGTTAATATAGTAACACGGTTCTTTAGTGAATCTGGCTTCCCCCATTGACTTTGCTTGTCAGACGGTGATCCCATGACCCCGGGACACTGCAACTGTCATAAATATGAGCCAGTTGCCAAGTGTCCAAATTCTGATCATGTGACCCTACGGAAGGTGCAGCAACTGTTAAGTGCAAAAAACAGTCATAAGTCATTTTTTTTTCAGTGCTGTTGTAACTTTGAACGGTCACTAAATGGTTGTAGGTGGAGAACTACCCATACATTGCTCTCAATCCACTGACTGGATGGCTGAAGATATTTACGGTTCTACTTCTTTTCAGAAGGCCGAGACCGCAATCTGCTTCGATCCTTCAGCTTCATGTGCTAAGCATAATACAGCACTGTAGTCAAAACAAGCAATGCTTAGCTTGAGAAATATGTCCCTGTTCAGTGCTACCCAGCCACCTTATTCCATTTGAATAGGAGAAGTTTAAAGAGAATGAAAGGTGATAACTGTTTTGTAGGTCCTTAGCAACAAACAAAAGCTACAATCTTCTGAAGCTTTAGGAAGAAGTTGAGATCGGTCCCAAGTTAATCTAGGGTGAGCCTAAGAAACCTTCCCTGTCTCTGGTTCCCAACCACAGAAAGGAATGAAAGCCACCAACCAGAGAATAAACCAAGGGGCAAAAGAGAAGGAGGAAAGCTGGCCAACAAAAACTGCAATGAGACATTAGAATCTTTTAAAAATAATGATGCTATTCAAATGAAAACCTCTAGATTAGATGATCCAGGTCTTTCTGAATGTATTGGCGAGTGGGAAGGAGGGAAGAGAGGCAGAAAAAATGAGTAAGCCCTTACCGACATGTTCCTCTGTTATATGAATGGTTGGAAGGGCCTGAATCTTCTCCTTGTCTGCAGGAGGCGGGCCGGTGTTTTCAAATTGATTCAGGAGCTGAAAGAAAATAAAAGGGTGACAAAGGAAGGAGAGACAGTCCCAACGTTGCTGCCAGATTGTGGCTGTAAATCAAGCTTGGAACTCCCTGGAGCCTCTAATCCAAGAATTACCCAGGCCAAATCCTCCATAACTTCCTAGCCCAGAGAAAAGGCCAGCCTGCCGAAATAAATTCAGGATTAAAATTGATTCTTGTTAACAGGCTGTCCTTCCTCCTGCTTTCCCATCTGCAGGGAAATGTCTCAGCATCCCATTTGAACCCCCAGTATAGCAGTTCATGTCTAAAAAAAAAAAAAAAGACACACCCACCCACCCTTTCTTAGGCCTGGGTATCAGGATAACCAGGGTCAGCAAAATTTGCAGCCCGTTAATGGCAACGTAAGAGCAGCCCTCCTTGCCTATTGCCGCTACTTCCCCTCCTACCCAATAAAGATGGCCAGAGCAGCTAAGAGCCGGTCTGGAGGCCACACACTTAAAAGCTCAGTTATGATTAAAAAACCACCACCACCAACTAAGCTCCTCAAGGTGAATCTGGACATGCACTAGCCAGGGGTGCTTGATCCTCCAATGTTCAGGCTAGGCTTCTGCTGCCAGCCACTCAAAGGCGCCTCCACTCCACCGAGCCACTCTACAAAGCCCAAGTTTCAGCTTCCTTTCAACCAGTGTTTCTCAACCTTGGCAACTTTAAGATAGGTAGACTTCAACTCCCAGAATTCCCCAGCCGGCGTGAAGTCCACCTATCTTAAAGTTGTTGAGAAACACTGCTTTAAACCATTTTTCAGAACAAGAGCCTCACGTGCTTAAAACCTTCCATTCCCATTTGCTTTCTAATTCCCAATGTTTTATGGAGGACGTGTACAGGGTTACCTCCAAATTATTATGCATTAACCAAACGATAGCATTATTAATTGACACCACCGAGCCCAAAATTTCTGTTACTAAGCGAGACAATTGTTAAATGAGTGGGTTTTGCCCCATTTTACGATGTCTCTTGCCACAGTTTTTTCAGTGAATCACTGCACTTGTTACGTTAGTAACAAGGTTGCTAAATGAAACTGCCTTCCCTATTGACTTTGCTTGTCAGAAGGTCCCAAAAGGTGAACACGGGACCCCGGGACACTGCAACCGTCATAAATATGAGTCAGTTGCCAAGCACCTGAATTTTGATCTTGTGATCACGGGGATGCTGCAATGGTCATAAGTACAAAAAAAATTGTCATTCTTTTTTCCAGTGCTGTTGAACAGTCACTAAATGACTGGTTGTAAGTCAAAGACTACCTGTAAGTGATATTAACCAAGGCATGGATACTTGGAGGGGCCTCATCATGGTCATGTTTATAACTGTGGTACAATTATGCAGTTTTTAATATACGTTTGGTGCACAGACTAAGCTAGGCCCATTAGTACACACTCTATTTCCTTCCTGGTTTTAGGCCAGTGCCTGCAGAAACCGCGTAAGCAGGGATTGTAGGCTACAGCCTTCTTCTGCTGCTGGATTCCAGCACAAGTCTTGGGATGAAAACTCAACATGGAGTTTCTCTTTAACTAATGGAACTTGAGCCTCCTGGAATTAAGCTGTATCTCAGTGGGAGCCCACAGGAGAGGACGTGAGAGTCCTAAGCTCTGAAACCTCCGTATGCCATCATTCTGCCCCACCCCTGCCCCGCAAAAGAGATGTGCCCTACACACAACCAGCTGTACCTGAGTAATAATGGCATCCAAGCCGTTGGCGCCCCAAGCGTAGTCCATGGGATTTGAATGCAAGACTCCCCTTTATAAATAGAAAGCACCAAAACAAAGAAAGGACAGGAGGAAAAGTTAAGCCTTCACTGGAACTGGCTGGGCTGCCATAAGGCAAATGGTCAAGGTTTATTGACTTTGGAGGATTCTTAGAATAAGCCTAAGAATCCCACATTTTTTTAAGATGTGTGGACCGACTCCCAGAATTCCCCAGTCAGCCAGAATTCTGGGAGTTGGAAATCCATACTTCTTACAGTTGCTAAGGTTGAGATACAATTGATCTAGAATGTGCTCTGACCAACTCACCAAGGTCCTACTCCAAGGTTTGGTATCGTGGTCGGTGCTATAATTCCATTGACCAGCTGCTGGATAATTCTGCCAAAAAGAAAGAAAAAAACAAAAAGGTTGAGGCATTCTGGAGCAGGGAGAAGACAACTGCTGAATGAGCTCACAGTTCGCCAAATTCTGGTGCTGGAATATGTGGAATTTTAAGAGGATACTGGTAATCCTCAACTTCTAACTGGAATTGACACTGGAATTAACGGTTTTTAAATTGTGCCAGTCATTAAGTGGGTCATCATGTGACAGACCCGATTTTATATTTTCTGCATTAAGCAAATCATCATGGTCCTAAGTGAATTGGCAATCGTTATGCAAAATACTGTTTGCCAAGTGTGTTTTTTGCTGGGAAACGAAGTAAATGCTGGATGATTACGTATCTGCAGGACATTGCAAATAGCTGCAAATGCAGGCTGGTAGTCGAGCACCTAAAATACAATCATGTGATCACACAGGGGAGGGAGGGAAGAGGGCTGGTCATTGGAATTTTGCTGGCTGCCTTCTTAACTCCAATGGCCATGCTCCAGTGCAGGCGTCTCCAACCTTGGCAACTTTAAGACTTCTGGACCAACTCCCAGAATTCCTCAGTCTCACACTGGCTGAAGAATTCTGGGAGTTTTAAGTCCATAAGTCTTAAAGTTGCCAAGGTTGGAGAGGCTTGCTTTAGTGACCTCCAAAGGGTGGCTGGAAAAATGAGTAATGCCCAATGCTTCAACTCTGGAAGCACTGCAACATAATTTTGTAATTGTACAGGATATCTTTCACCTCTAACTTGGTGTGGCCCTTCCAATTTGTGGACAGCACAGTTCCAACTGATTTGCTAGACACCCACACCCACTCCCCAAAATACTGTTCTCCTACATCCAAATTGACTCGGCAACCACCATGAACCAGGAATCCATTTCCATGGTTTTAAAATACCTATATTCAAAGAAGCGACTTGCCCATCGCAGCTGGACAACCTGTCCTCACCCTTCTAGTGTGGGGACTCCCTCATGTCTGCCAGCCGCCCGTCGTGTGGTGAAACGAGCCCGAGGTTGCCTGGCTCCATATCGGTGCCGAGACTGATGTTCCCTCTCCCGCCTGTTCTCAGCATCGCGGTTATCTTCTGTTTGTGTGTTGGTCCCAAAAGCTGGGAAGTCAAAACTGTCGTCGATTATCCCAAAGGCAAACTGGCCGTAGCCCTGCGGGAGGGTGAAGAGGGGCTGATCTACATTCTAGAAAGGAGAGAGAATGCGCCAGACAGAGAAAAGGAAACTGCTTAGAACAGAGGAAGATGACTTACGGAGATGGGCCAGAAACCCAGGACTGCCAGTGAGGGGAGACAGGTAAGCTGACATCATCCAACTATGGAATTAAAGTTCCACAGTCCTTCACCATTATTCATCTTATCTGAAGCTTATGGAAGTTGAAACTCCGAAATGGCTGATCCAGGTACCTTTCTGCTTTTCTGCCAGAATTTTGGAAGCACATCATCACAGGCACTCTTATCAAATGGCTGCCATGGCGAGAAAGTGGCCTATTCACAAAATGGCTGCCGGTCACAAAATACTCATTTACCAATTTTTTCTCTCTCTACTATCTTCTCTAGAACTCTCCTTAGCAACCTAACTTCCTTTTTCTGTTTCTTCTGCATAGCTAAGTATCGAAAACCCTGGGATGGATCCTCTAACCATTTCTATTTTCTCAGAGTGCCAGTGAGGCCCAAAGGCATTCACAGAAATAAATACAATGCTAGAGGCTCCTTCTCTGTAGGAGCTTTCTGCATTACTCTTGAAATTTTAAAAAAGGGATCTGACTGGGTGCCAAGTGATGCGTCCGTGGGGCTAGTAGGGCCTACAGTCACCAGCCTGTCTGGAAGTTCTGAGCCAGAGTTGAGAGAAAAGAATGTTCCAGTCTGCAATGGATGGATGATTCTCTATGCCAATCTTAGCAAGTTAAGATGTGTAGACTTCAACTCCCAGAATTCCCCAGCCAGCAATGATGGAAAAAAAGTCCACAGACCTCAAAGTGAAAAAGGTTGAGAGACAGTGGTCTAACTGAAGAGGATTCTAGGCCCTGCCCTGAATTCTCAGCAGCCCCCCCCCCCCCAAAAATACCATCCATTGTCCATAATAGATGTTCTCCATTCCTTTCCCAAATGCAAGGGGCTCTCTTAAGATTGGACTTGGAATCTCTCAAGAAAAAAGGACGAAGACATAAAGATCCTGGGTAAACCTCGGGCAGGTTTTTCTTAATGGTCTATCGATGTATTTATACCCGTTTCACTGAATAGAGACTTTATTCATAAAGAACTCACCTCAAACGGATGTCTGGCCTGGTCACTGGTTGAGGCTGAAGAACTGGACCCATTTTCAACATTTCTGGAAGAGTTCGGGGGGGGGGGGGGGAGCAAATTAGCCAAGTAGGATGGAAATTATGATTCCTGAGAACGCTAGACAAGAACTAGTCAAACGACTGTACATTTTTAGGTGCCTCTCTTAAAAAACAACAACCCGCAATATAGATCAGGGATGTCAGACTCCACATCAGGGTTGTGTTTGACCTCAGGGGGCTGGGGTGGGCATGGCCAGCTTGACACCAGTCGTGTTGGGGGTGCCCGTGGCCCGAGCACTCCCAAGCTCCGTTTTCAGTTGGGACGGCCCCCTGCAACCTTCTGCCAGTGAAAACAGAGCTCGGGAGGGCCACGCACAGACCTCACAAGCTGTTTCCGGCTATAATGGCCTCCTGCAACCCTCTGCCAGCAAAAACAGTACACGGCCCTCCTGAGCTCAATTTTCACTGGCAGAGGCACTGTGGGTCGGTCCTTTGCTGTTTCCAGGGCCCAGATCTAAGCACCCTGCAGCCAAATCCCTGCGGACACCCCTGATATAGATGAAGTCTTTTTTTAAAAATAGTGATACTTATGTGTTTTCTTCTTGTTGTCTGTTTCATTGTTCTATTATTTAACTTTTGTTTGTTCAAACTTCCTTTTTATTTCGTTACTTATGGTTGTGAATGCCTACAGAAACCCCATGACAAGATAGGTAGCAAATAAATTTAATAATAATTAAAAAAATGAGTAACTTGTGTTGGATTTACATGAGTGATAGAAACAATCTGTAACAGGCCTTCTTGTGGGGGGAAAGAAAAATTGCCAGTATTTCTTCTTGTTTTTCCTTCTACGTGTATTCTTTTTTAATCTTTCCATTTCTCCTTCATTCAGTAACCTACCTTTCAATTTTTTTCTCAAATTGGGGGGAAAAAAATCCTCCTTCTCTTCAACTTCCTTGTCCTATGTGGTTTTTTTCTGCTTTTTAATAAGATGGTGAACCTGTGCAGTGGGACATGAGGCTCAAGAGCACCTAGCACGATACTTATAAAAGATAAATGAGGCTGTGCTTTACATTCCTTTTCAGGGCCCCACACATGCCAAATGTTCCTGGCAGAAAAAGAAATAACACTGCTGGATGAATCTTCCCTGCTTTATGCATACTGCATGCTGTGTAATCCGAAGGAAACCCCTTCCTGCAAACAGGGAGATTTACTTTCAGTGACTTTAATTATATTATTGTATCTTTTACAAAGTGTAAACTTCCCTAGCGTACCTATTGTGAAGGATACAATAGGCCCATTTTAATTAAATATGTATATTTATCTACTCATGAAAGGAAGGAGCAGAAGAGTATCATTTATTTTACTGCAATCTGAAACCAGTAATCCCAGGGGCTTAACCAGGTTAAAACCTGAAACCAGCCCAGCTGGGAGAGAAGATAATTTAAATGTCTGCAGCTTTCTCCCATATTCCCTCCTGAAATCCTTTCTGCTACCAACATTAAGACATTTTTACCTTGCCTTCTTTTATCAGGTTTTTCAAACCTTGTGGTCAAATTAAAAATGTGTTTTTGGCAACTTTTGAGCTGGCCTAATACAGGAATGGTTGTAGTATAGGAATGGAACCGTTGATTTTAACTTGAATAAATTTGGATCTGCCTTTATTTTAACAAGGAAATAAAGCAAAAATAGTACTAGACAACAATGGTAATAGTTCTTGATTGAGAGCCTTGATATAAAATTTAACAGTGCCAGTGACCACACGACAGAATGTGGGGTTTGTTAGAATTTATAACAGCAGAGGAATTCACCAAAAATTCAGTAAGAATTCCAATAGATACAAACCCTTCCATGCAATTAACTCTAAAACTGGGGGAGAACAATGCATCTTTGTCAGATATAAAGGGGTGGGGGGGGGACCACAAAACTTTTGTGATATACACGAGGATTTTGAAGAGAAGAATTTGCCAAAGTTTCTGAGCTGGTGAGCACTTTTGAGAAGTTCTCACCTTCTGGGCTGACGACAGAAGCAGCTACAAAACTCCACACAGAATCCTCCTATGTCCTTTTCTTTAGCAAAACCCTGGGTCAGCCATTTGTGATTTTCTAAGAAAGTCCAGGAGGCCCTCAGATATGCTTAGAAATAAAGATTACACTGGGGGATGGTGTTTATCTTTGTAACACTCCTACTTCCCTCTCTTTAACTTTTACTTTCTATTTTTGATGTAAGATTGGGACACAATTCCTGACAGAGATTAAAAGAGGTATCTGAAAGCTTATTATGCCCTCAGGCACCACACAGGATACCTCAACTCTAGTTGCAAAGGCCCAAAGATACTTTTCAAAAGAACTGAAGAAGCTTCTTGGACGAGAAGCAAAACATCTTTAAGGAAAACAAAAAACAAAGAAGTCCAGTTGCTTTTTGAAAAGCACCTTTTGGGACAACCATGACCTGGATAATTGAGAACGTCCACAGACATCCAGTTGCAAAGCTGTCACAAGGGCAGGTTTTATCATCACCATTTCTAAAGACAGGGCATACCTGGAAAGCAGGAGGCCCCAGTATAAAAAAGTATAAATACGGCTTTATGAATTTAGCTCAAGATATGGGAAAGTGTGAGAAAGAAACTCAAGGTTGCTCCACCTTCATTCCCTTTGGTCCAAGAGGGAAGGAAGGGGAAACACTGTCAGGCTGTCAGGATTCTACAATTATAGCCTATATCAGGAGAGTTTTAGCATTTCTTATGGAGCCTGTTTCCTGTGACCTGCTTTACATCAAAAGGGTTACCAAAGTTTGTTGCTTTATGGATACAGGATCCTTGACGTATGACCATAATGGAATTTGCCCGGTAAGGTCTTATGTCCTGATGGCCACAAAATGGGTCAGCCACCATACTTTATGACATTTTTGCAGTAGTCATTAAGCAAATCACTACATTCATTAAACAAATCACCACAGTCGTTAATCAAACTAATGGCTCGGTATGCGTACAGTTTTGCTGAAAACCAGAAGTAGCAGTTTTCAGTCATAAAATGCAGTCGTGTGACAGTAGGACACTCCAAACATCTGTAAATGTGAACATGTTGCGAAGCGCCCAAAGTTTGGTCACATAGCCATTGAGAAGGGGCCAACTGTTGGATCTTCAAATCCAGATCATGAACTCCCCTTTTGGGAGTTGGTCATAACTTTGAATGGTCACTAAGCAACCAGTTGCAATTTGAGGACTACCCCATATTAGGATCTAAACTGATCTTGGAAATTTAGCATTGCTTAAGCATACCACTTGCACCAGATGTGAGTCAGCTAATGACGTTGAACCAGCTTTGGTGCCACTCCTTTCCTTGATGTATGTGTGGCAGAAACAAACTGAGGAAATAAGATTGTATCACATCCAACTTCAGACAGGAGATCATTCGTGAAGACATCTGAGGGAAGTGGGCCAGGAAGAAGGGACAGAAATGCTGGGATATGAATATTTTTTCCATCCTGGCTTCTGTGGCCAAGGGTGATGGAAGCAGTCAGTTATTCTAAGGAAAGGAAGATTTTGGCTAAGGACCTTCATCCGCTTTGCATATCTTCTAGATATGGGGAGTTTTCAACACAAAGAAACCAAGCATTTATCCACCAATCATACTGATTTATACGTGGATCTAACCCCTCGCATGTAGACAGAAAATAATTCTTGAGAAAACTTGCCAACGCTTGACCCAGACCTACCCCACATATGCAGTTGTCATTTTCAAAAGTAAAAAAGGCTTGTTACCTTGGTTCTTCGGGCAGCTCTTCAATAAAACCAGATTCACACCTGGGGCAAATATAATCCTATAGGAGGAAATGTTGTGTGAGAATGCTTTACGTTCAAAAATCCAGCAAGGAGCAAAAGATGGGAGATTGCCAGGGTGTTTTCCGGCAAGACCATCAGTCAACCACTGTCCAGACTTCAATGTTCCTCGATTCAACAGACCCGCCCTTGCCTCCATTGGCAGCTAACTGCATGAATTAGGATCACTTGTAGCCGTGTTTCTCAACACTGGCTGGCTGGGGAATTCCGGGAGTTGAAGTCCAGTCATCTTGAAACCGCCGAGGTAGAGAAACACTGACTTGCAGATTTCCTACCACTTCGCTCAGGCATAGTAGTAACGGTGTAACTTTTTTTGCACATTAAAAAAGCAAACGAGAACCCTCTAAACTGAAAGTGATTCTATTTTCTACAACACACAAGCAGAATTTTCCCGTAGTGGATATTTGTCTCACATGCAAAATTATATTCCCAAGGAAAAAAGAGGAGAAGCAAAGCTGAGTTCAAGTACAGGTAGTCCTGTAATAGTAGTAAGTAAGTAGTAAATCGAGCACTACTGGTACCTCTTAAAAATAATTACATATGAAGGAGTAAGCACTGGATTGGCTTGTATTACACTAAAGTGATCTAGCAATTTTTTCTGAATACAGAGTGAAAGGATGGTTTGTTAAAAGCTGGGCGCTTCCTTGGGTTGCATGCTTGCCTGCAAAAGCAGACTGGCTTTCTGAAGAACCCTGATTTATCACAACAAGCTGCCTGCCAGAGAATGTGTTCCCCAACCTTCCTATAAGGACACTTGCCGGAATGCATTATGGGCATTCCTGCAAAATGGCTACCGGGGAGACGGTGTATTCATAATATGTCAGCTACTACTTGGAAATCTCTTCTAGACTTTGTGCTCAAGACAGATAAAAATGAAGATGTTGGGTTTTGCTGATTAATATAGTTAGTTGATAGAGAAATAGCTAGTACTTGTTAAGTTGGTAAAGTAAAAATGTTGAGGCTGTAATTTTATTCTCTACTTCATTGTGCTGAAAGAAGTTGGAATTTTTTTCCCTTTCCTCATGTACTTATACCTTCCTTCCCCTTTTCTTTTCCTTCCCCATTTTCTATTATCTGTATTGTCTTCTGTATTTTTGTATGATAATTTTAAATTATTGGAAAATCTCCACACACACACAAATATGCTAGCTACTGGGGACAGAAGGGCTGACTTGTCAAAGTATTTCACCACACCCTCTCTAGCTGACCCACCATAGATTTCTCTCTACTATTATCCTTGATGGCATATCCTATTTTTTAACGAAGTGAAATTATGATTGAAAGATGTAAGTCAGATGATATGCAGGCACCTAGGGAGATGCAGAGCCATCACCCAGAGCCAATCTGCACCTGGTTGGCTATGTCCACCAGCAAATATGGTTTAATTACACCACATAATGAATGCTATGGGAAACTCTTTATGGGCCTTTTGCTGAAAATAATAAAAATAAACTGATGATTGATGGATCTGATGATTGGAAAGGGAAAAATATAAGAAGAAGGGGATCACTTGGTAACTGTAAAGGAAGAGGATGATAAATTTATTTTAAAAACCGGAAGCCACTTCTTCATACTTGTTTTCCCAGTCACCACTTTCATTTATTCATCTTTTCCCCTTAAATTCGTAACATTTTTTTTACTATTGTATAACATTCCTCAACAGAAACATTTTTTGTAACAGAACGTTATGGAAAACTGGGATTGGAATTTGCAGCGTCCAAAGCAGCCAGGATTTGTAAACTAAACATTAACCTTAGTTTACAATCCCTTGGAAATAAAAAGCCAGGGATCTTGGCTTAGATAAAATAATCGGCTTCCTTTTCCTAGCTAGCTTATCTTACTATCATCCTCTGGCTGAAACAACCGGGCTGCAAAGGAACCAGCATTCCATTGTTTCCTGGTAAGCCAGTTTCCTTTAGAACCCAACTTCCTATTGTATCCAAATGCGACAATATGACCACTATTCATAGTAATCCAGGGCTCATTCTTATCCTGCCTATGAAATAAGTACCTGGCTGTTTGATTTTTTTAACTAAGGCACCGATTTACTTTTCGTGTACAAAATAAAGCTGTTCTCCAAAGACATGTAGCTATGTATACCTTGCCCACTTGGGACTGGACTTCCCAGCTGACTGAACTCCATGTGATGGTGTTTTTTTCCACAACATTTAAGACAGACGGGTTTTTTTTTCCTCCTGGGAGCTCTCCAGACAGACAGATGGACCTCAACTCCCAGGATTCTTAGCAGCCGTCATGCATTTGAAGGGTGCCATCTTGGGGAAGGGTGTTCCCAGGCAATCATGAACCAGGAGAGCTCCCCAAGTATACAAAACCCAAATTAGGGCTTGTATTCCGAGCGTGGTTTGTATTTATAATAATAACAGTGAGAACCCAGCTGAATAACAATGACAACTAAAAAGGACTAAAAAAAAAAAAGCAAGGTGGTAAGTCTTCAAGTCAACATTCTTCAAGTCTGACGCAGCAAAGGTTTGGTTCAGTGAACGACAGAATACTTAGCAGGTTGCCAGGATCCACAGGACAGCAAAGGATTTAAGAGGAGAAGCAAGTGGTGCGTTTCAAAATAGTTTACCGTTGGTGGGTGTGGCTTGGTGGGCATGCTTGGCGCTCACTCCAAACACGCACTTTGTGCAGGCATAGAGGTTGGCCGACTCACCTCCTACAATCCTGCACTCTCCCTGTCGCTTCAGCAGCGGACACTCGGCAATCTGCTGTGCCATGCAAAGCACGGAATAAGCCCTGATAGGTGGGTGGGCCCAACGGCAGCTCCTTAGAGAGAACCGGTTTGGTCTCCACCAATCTTCAGCGCTACCAGTATGCCAGAACCGGGCCAAACCGGCAGAATACCTCCACCGGGGAGAAGGTAACCAAACAGCTCAAGCAAAGCAGACTTTGGGCCTATAACCGTCTCTGTGACACAAAGTCCGTGACTAGTCAAGATTACACCAATAGATGGGACAAGGTGCAAGAGTGGTTAAACTGCTTGGCTACAATTAAGAACCAAACTCTGAACAGGCAGTGAAGGCAGCAGAAAGCCGGTCAGCTTGAGGAAACTAGTTTTGCCCGGATTGAACACATTTCCTTAACGAAAAGATGATCATGACGATATTTGCAAGGTTCGCTCTGCATTCTAAGGTGTGACCTAAATTGACCCAAGTTTGTCACACAAGTCATAAAGGTTTTTATTTGCAGATAAATTATAAAACACGGTTTAAAACAAATCTGATTCAGACAAGACACTTGACTAAAACCAAGCAGTGTTGCAATATAGCACAATGTGCGAAGTCAGCTTGTGGTGGGGTTTATATAATGATAAATCATGATTTATTTAACTATGGTTACCACATAAACCCTTCATGGAAAAGGAACGTGAGAAACCCAGTCTCTAAATGGGCGGATAGATGAACATAAGAGGAAAACTATTCGTACACCATGACCTGCAACTGGCTGAGTTTTAGCAATATGTTAATCCACCCTAAGCAAAGTATATCACTGGCCTAAGCTTTTTAAACGTTTGACATTCACAACAAGATATAAGCCATTTTGCACTTTGCCTTGTTAGCGTGACATTTTGTGCAGGATGACGATATGGGTTATTTGTTTCTGGGTTAGTGTGATATATTCATCCATTCAAATAAGAATCCAAGGTTTATAAACCATGTGAAATAAAAATCTAGTCATGATATTCCCCTCTGAAAAAAAAATCGGGGCCGGCCAAAAGAGACCCCCCACCGTGCACCAAGAAATCGCTGCCCAGCTCCCTTTTCCTGCCGCTCAGCGGCCTCCGCTTGCACCGCCCGGGCTCCGCTCAGGTATCCGGCTGGGGCTGTCAGGAGTTGCTACCGCCGGCGCGGCTCCGCGCGGCTCCAGTCCCGCGTTGCCTCGGGAAGGGAAAGGCAAAACCAGAAGCCGCTGCTGCCGTTGCAAAGCGCCGCCGCGGCTCTTCCTTTTTGCCTTTCCCTTCCTGAGGCAACGCGGGACTGGAGCCACGCAGAGCCGCGCCAGTGGTAGCAACTCCTGACTCAGGGCCTCCGAGGGGAGGGGAAGGAGGAGAAGAAGGGGGGGGAAGGGGGGGCGATTCCCAAAAAAATCGGAATTCCGATTTTAATCGGAAGAATATCATGTCTGAATCTAGCAAATAGTAAAAAAAATTTGCTTTAGAGTGCAAGACACAAACTGGATTCCTACACCACTGTCTGCAATTGGATGGGTTGTAACAAGACATTAATCCAAACTAAGCAAACATCATAGCATTAGTGTGAAATATGAATCCACTTGCACACTGAATGAAGAAGTCACATCTTTAATCTTTAATATAATCTATTAGATTATAGTCTAAAGATGCTTCAGGTTAGATTCCTGCACTAAGTTGCAGATTTGGTTCAAGGGTCCAGTGATTCGATTCCACTCTAGAATTCTATGGTTCAGCATGTCTAATGAATCTATCTAAACTTGCACTGCAGTTTGCAAACCACCATAGTGGTTAATCAGATCATGGACTCAGATACACACAGCCTGGCTAGTATTCTTGGGCATCAAAGGTTAGTTATATTTTCAGTATCTGTTCTGAGGCTAAGCTGATGTCCTTGGAAGAAAAATGAAGTTATTCTCTAAATCTTGAGGTTTCTCCCCTCCCCTTTATAAAAAAAAGTTATATTTAGAAGGAGTCATTTAAGGACAGTGTGCTTGTCCTTAAACCAGTATTTCTTACCCTTGCTAAATTTAAAATGTGTGGACTTCAACTCCCAGAATTCTTCAGCCAGCTATGCTGGCAAGGGAATTCTGGGAATTGAAGTCCATACATCTTAAAAGTGGCCAAGATTGAAAAATGTTGTTTAAAAAAAAACAAATGCCAGTCCTTCACTCAATTGCTGCCTCAAGACGTGATGGCTACCATTAGCCCTCATATTAGTTTCAAAAATGATGAGATGGATGCCGGGAAGTAGAAAATAACTTATAATAG